AGAACAAGAGTGAACTTGTTGCTGCAATTCAAGATCTACAAGTGTCTCGAAATACAGTGATGCGACGAATTGAAAGGATAAGTGGGAATGTGAAAGAGCAGTTATATAATGATATTAATAGATGATTTTGTTTTTTCCTTCAGTGGGATGTAGCGACAGATATAAGTGATACAGCACAATTACTTGTTTTCTTTCGTATGATTTTTAAGGATTTTACAGGTAAAGAAGAATTGTTGGGTATGATTTCTTTGAAGGAAAGGACTAGAAGTGTAGCCTTTAAAAACGTGCTCAATGCTTTGAATGTATCCCTTTTTAAATTAGTATCAATAACAACGTATGACGCAGCTGCAATGATAGTTAACATTAATGGATTTATAGCCCTATGTCAAAAGGAAAATGAATTCCCTGCCTTTTTAAGCTATCACTGTATAATTCACCAGCAAGTGTTAGCTAACAAGAGACTAAACACAAAAGCGGTAATGGACATAGCATTTAAATTATTAATTCATTTCGAGGAAGTTACCTTAAACGGCGTCTCTTCCAATTTCAACTCGATGAAGGCCAACCTGAATTATTACAACATACTGATGTCAGATGGCTAAGCAGAGGTAAAATTTTACAGCGATTTCGTAATTTATTGCCTGAAATTATAGATTTTCTTCACGAACAAGATGGAAACGTGAAAATGTAAATGATGAAACTTAACTTAGTGACTTAGCATTTCTTACTGATTTTACTTCAATATTAAGTCATTTACATTTAGAATTACAAGGTAAAAATAAAACAGTAATTGATATGATCAGCTGCATAGACGTATATAAAACAAAATTAATTTTTCTAATAGAAGACCTGCAACAAAATAATCTGAATCATTTTCCAAATATGGCGGATAACCTACAAAAACATAAAAATATTAATTATAAGATCGACAAATATGTCGCGGAAATCCAGAAAGTAATTGAAGACTTTAAGATAAAAATTCCAGGATTTTGAAAAAAATTAAAGAAATTGTGGAATTTATATCTTTTCTTTTTAAAAAAGATTTAAGTGCGAAACGCATTAGCCAAAAAATTTCAGACATATTTCATATGGATCAAAAGACATTAGAAAATGAAATTATAATTTTGCAAACTTACTAATTGAATCTTACAAACCCGAAAATTTGAAGATTTTTGGAAATATGTTAACCAAGAAAAATATCCCAGTATCACCAAATGTAGCGAATATATCTATTCTTGTTTCGGATCTACATTCCTATGCGAATCGGCATTTTCATACTTGAAATTAACGAAGACTAAACAACGTTCTGTCCTGACTGATTCCCATACTAAAATCTCATTATTATTATCTTTGTCAGGATATACACTTAATTAAGATTCCTTCGTTAGGGACATGCAAACTCAGTCTTCCCATTGATGTTAAGGCAACAAAGTAAATTCTAAATCTGTCTTTATCTGTAGCTACTTTGAATTAATAAATATTGTTAATAATTATCTATGTTCTTTTTATTCCTTCGGCATGAGCTTTTGGGATCTTTAAATAGTTATTGTTGCTGTTTTCTACATAGGTAGGTAAACCTTATATTTCAGTATGTCATATCTGTATTTAAGTACGAGGTATGTTCAGCGAGCTATTGATAGATTAGCAAAGAGTAAGCCGTGTTATTCTTTCGTGATAAATTCTTCTAGACGAAAAAAAAAAAAAAAAATTGCGAAAGTGAGGCATTAAAGTCAAATTATCAGCCTTTATAACAACTTTTCCATATTAAGGAACAAATAGTACAACAACTTATACATGGCATTAGATGAAAAAAATCAAATTGCATTTTTTGTTAGTAAAAACTCATGAACAAGTGTAGAAAAATCGAATTTTTTAGGCACCGCATGTACGGAATGGTGCTATTAAAAATTGGATCTGGAAATTTATTTTCTTCATGAGACTATATCTCGAAAACTTAATAAGTGATTTAAAAAGTAAAAAATAGCTTTGAACATATATTTTGCTTATCTACCCATACCTCGCTGGCATGAACCTTATACAGAAACACAGTGTATAAACTTTGTATGTATTTTACACCCTTTTCCCCCTTAGACTATACCTATGACAAGAAGTCGATAGCGACACACTTTTAAGATAAAAAGTAGATTTTATATACAAAAAAGTTGGCCACCCCTGCCATATATCATCGAGCAGTCTACCTCCATCCACCTCCTCCTGATCAAGAACAGTGTGCAGAGCTGTACATTTTAGATTAGGATCAAGAGCTCAGGCAGAGAATGAATATACTTGGAAATGTTGCTCTGAATGCTGAACTGCTGACACAACTGAATGTAGTTTTAAGGAATGTGAATCCATATGCAGAAGCTTAACAAATTTGAAGAATGAACTACCAGAGCAAGGTGCTGAAACTGCTGCTTCTATCCACATGGTACATCAAGGGCGAAAGTGTTGTTACAGGTGAGCACAGAAGACGTTATAACGCTTCAAAAGAAAATGAAGTTACATTTGTTTTCAAGAGTGCAGAGGGTGTTCTTCCATTAAACAGAGATATTGTACTCATGCAAGAGGTGATGGTCTTATTGGTTAATCTTTCATAACCAGAGTGAACGCGAAACATGGCGAGAATTTTTAATTTGGCTCGATTTTAATTCGGTTGTGGTTTCCGGCTGTATGTTTTCCTGTGGAAAACCTAGAGCTTTATTTAGGTGATTGCTGAGTACCAATTTAATGTAGCCAGATAATATATTTAATATATTTTTTTTTAAATTTAATTTTGAAATACTGTGTTTGTTTTTAAAGGTTTTACTGCTTAATATTTGCAGGAAGTTAAGCTGTTGTTGGGGGGAGAATGTTGGGTTTAAGATGACGTGAAGTTTATAATTTATTAATGTTTTTATTTAATTTTATTAAGTTAACGTTTTCCGGGTCAGTTAATTATTATTTTTTTAGCTTTGTTTCTTGTATGTGGCAATCGAAAGATGTGGAATGTTTAAAGTTTTGAATGAAAGCTTTTAAGTGTGTTGAATTCCACGACGATAATAACTGGTACATTTTTACTGGGTTTATGATGCATTCGTTGTTAGTGAATTTGAATATATTTACTTGGACGATTTTGGAGTCCAAAGAAATTGTTATACAATTTATTATTTTATTATTCATTATACTATTTTATCATGATTTACATGAATAAGACTATATTTACTATAGTATTTTATCAACTCATTTTACTATTTTGTTTGCATGAAACATCGGCATTACTACTGCAAAACTTAAAAGTTACTATTCTGTTTACGTTTAAAAATAACATCTTAGTGTTCTTATTACCGCCAAAAAAAATTTCCAAATATTGAAGGCCAAAATAGTTTGACGCCAACTTACCCCGCTTATGGAAGATTAGCCGTCTTATTAATATCAGTACTTTAAATCCTAACTTGGAACCGATCACGTATGTAATTTTCTTTCCTAATGATGATCAAGGATTAAGAGTTAAACAGCAGTACACACAGTATAGCAGTTTTATAGTCACAGAGTGTCTGTACGACAACATTGGTACAACACTATTTTGTATGGCCAAATATTGTTAATCAAGCCAGAATAAAGCTAGAACTTTTTATCTGAAACGTTTTTATTCATTTTCTTTTCAGATGTACATAGAAACTATAAATCTTGCTTTGGCCGCAGATCGCTCATCTGATGGGCTTGCCCATTAGTATGGATTTTAAATCTTACACTGTTAACAATGTCACGATTTTTTTAGTCTCATACGAACAAAAATATTAAAAAAGCTAAAACGTTTCTTCTTTTCCATTTAGTATATTTAACTAAGATCATAAAACTTTTTTTTTAAATACATACTATTACTTTTGATAAAGATGAAAAAAAATTAAAATTTAATACTTGGACAATTAGATTGCCTTTCCTGTGAAAATAAATAAATTATATATAAATACATTTCTTTAAGAAATAAATCATTTATATTTTTCAATAAAATTTTAGGTAACAAATAAACTGAAGTTGCTTTCAAACACTGATAATCGTCCTTGAAGTAATAAATCTTAGAATAAGAATTGTTTTTTAAATATACCTCCATATGTTACCATTTGAATTCTTTACTTTTATATATATATATATACTATTTAACATTGGTAAGATCAACACATTTAGATTCGGCTACTTTTCTGGATGAGTTTATAAAAAATTTAAAAGTAGGGATAGCTATTCCTTGCCATTTAATCGAGGAGTATATTAATGAAACAACTAAAATGAAATAATTAAATAATTAAAAGTAATTTGAAAGGTTTCAGATTTAAATGGTCGCCCAAAAGAGTTTGTTAAGGCTTTTACGCTCTCGCTGAGCTCTCAGTGAAGCAGTTTGCTTTTTCACTCATTCCTACTGACCTCTTTTTTTGTTTGCCTTTTTAACTTTATTACTATGCATCTTTTTTTTTTTTTTTTTTTTTTTTTTTTTTTTTCGCAGAGTACATTTTACATGTAAATTCTTCATTACTTAATATCTTCAAAAATAATGCAGGACGATAATATTAGTTAGTAACAATTTGAAAAGTTATACACTGTTTATAAAGAACCAATGTAAAATTTCATTTCGAGACTTGTAGAGACATTAGGTTATTTCGAAGCAGGAGAGATGAAAAATGAGCAATGGCCTCGCCGGGACTCGAACCACGGACCTCTGGAATACTCACCGAGCATGCAGACTACTACACTGTGAAGGCGGGAGAAATACTTTACAGCCTTTACAGTTCACTATACCTTATAGACTAATAACGTCTTTTGGTTTGAAAAGGAAATAAAAATCGTAGTGCATTTTTTGGACATAATTAAAAATAATTATAAATAATAAATAAAGCAATAATAATAAATTATATTTTTAGCATCTTAAGAAAACAGGAATTTGAGTTCTTAATTCAATCCTTTCCGTTTCCTGCGATTTCCATTGTGTAAAACAATGTGGATAAATAATGATGCGAATGATAACTTACCATCAAGTCACTATCAATATCTTTCTTCCAGCTGGAGCTTTCGATACTGTCGTCTGAACTGTATGGCATATCTGCTTCATCCATAAGTCTTTAAAACAAACAAAACAAAAGTTAGTGTCGAAATTGCATTTGGATATTATATTTAAACATGAATTAAATTACACTACTCTTTTATATAGAGCAAGGAATTCCTGAGTTATCTTTACCTTATTGGTTTTTCGTGCAATTTTTGACAGATACCATATCAAGAGATGAAAACTGAAGGTATTCTCTAACCATGATTTCTATATAGATAGTTTATAAAAATTCCCTTTCTGCAAAGATATTATAGTCAGAATAGTCCACGCGTAGCATCGAATTTGAACTCGAACTCAGCAGCGTGTACATCAAGATGCACTAGATGTCATACTATTAGGGTGGCCAGAAACAGAAATAAAGGATAAACTTTAGAGTTTAAAACTTAAAATTAGACAAAAATTACACCTATATTTACACTGACTCATGCTCACTTGTCTGACCTATAGTCAGCCCAATCGTGGCAAGGAGCGCGGGATTACGGCTGTCGTTGGCAATTGCCTTGAGCACCATACAGGTGATAGTGCGATTTTCCTCAGTTCCTCTCCCAATTTTGATGGAGAGCACACCGGGGGGACGGATCCGTGGGTCTCCCTCTCCTCTTCCCTTACCACCAATCTCTGGAGAGGACTTTCGGCTAGCCGTACATTTAGCGTCCTTCCATGCCGTTTCGGACACTATTCATTTACAAACATCCATGCCTTCTCCAGGATTCGAATACGGGCTGGCCCTTCGGTCTCTTTTCTTCAAGAGATTAAAATATTGTGAGCCATTTTTCAGAAATACATCATGCATAGAAATTTCCTTTGCACCGAAAAAAAATAATATTGAAGAAAGCAGGAATTCTAGCTCCATCTGACAATAAAAATAATATAATTAAAAAGTTCTGCAATAGATTCAGACACTTTAGGGGGAAATTGCAACTAAACAAAATCATTACATATAGCTGAAAATCATGGGGAAGGATTTAAAAAAATCTAATTCGCCAAACACAGAATTTTCCAGATATTTTTTGTAGATTTAAAGTTGAATGAAAATGCAAGGGCCAACAATGATCATCTCTGGAAGACATATATTTTTCGTTTCTGACATTAAATTAAAGAATGTCTTCAATACAAATTTTTAATGCTATCTTAATTTATCTGATGTATGTTAAAGCATACTGATAAGTTAAATTTTCAAGAATCAAAATTTTCAAGAACGCGAAATTTCATAAGTTTTGTTCCTTTAATAGCATATATGCAAATAATCGCAAAGTATTATAAGATCAGCAGTGTTAAAGGAATGAAAATAGACAATTATATTAATATTAACATTATTAAGAATTTGTAGTGAACATATATTTATATTTTACTTTGTATTATCATAGATCAGTGTATGCTTGATTTTTGGTTCCATTTTTTTATAGTTGTATGTGCTTCTAAATGAGTATACTGTTGCACTTTCATTTTTCAGAATTTTCTATATTTTATTTATTCTTTTTTTTTTTTTTTTTTTTTGTGTGTGTGTGTGTGTGTGTGTGTACAGTTGTTTTCTCGCGTTTCAAGTTTTTATGTGGCCTTTATTTTCGAATCCGTTGGTTGTTACCTTGTATTTTCACTTTCAAAATGTCTCAAATACGAAACATATTCATTTTACGGCATTTTTAAATTTGAAAAGTCAATTTTGTAAAAACTATAAAATCTAATATTGTACAGGAGACCCTTGTCCCTACAACTACATTCAGTAAACGTTTATGTTAATTATAGTTTAGTAAACTGGTTAGTTTAAGTTTATGATTCTGGGAAGTTAAATACAAAGAATTTGACTCCTGTATTACCCCCGGTCCCCCCCCCCCCAAAAAAAAAAAATTGACCGCAGTATTTAATCTTAAAATTTGAGGTTATGTTCAGATATTGTACACAAACTGAAGAAAGATTATTTGCAATTGTACGTAACAAGCAATGAAATATACCAGTACTGGTTCACAGCCAACTTGTAACATTATTTGCATAAATTAAAAATAAAAAAAATCTGAAAGTTTTCAGATTTTATATTACACGCAAAGAGGCGGTTTTTTTTTAACGTTTTGTGTGTTACCTTTATTTATAAAATATCTTGTTCTCACTTAAACCATTTAATTCAATTCAACAGCAATATCACAAAATATTCAAAAGAGCATATATTTAAAATTTCCGATACACAGTCTCGCGCACTGGAGATAAAAATGTTTTTTTCCCATTGTTGTTGGAATTGTTTTTTTTTCCATTATTGTTGGAGCAGTGTTGCCATTGCTCGCTTTGAAATCCTTGAGTTTGTTGGTCAAAAATTCGTTAAAGTTTTACAAACTATGAAATAGATAATAAAACAGATTCCCAAATTTGAGCTTCCAAATGCTCACATTAGAAAGGAGGTCTACATTATTCAAAATTTTATGTCTCTAGGTACCGTTTTTTTTTTCACAGTGCGAGAAACATACATACATTTATGCAGATTCTTCCTTATTTAATTTCTTTAAAATATAATGCAGGGCTCTCATATTTGGTAGCAACAATTTGAAAAGTGAAACGCCGTTTATAGTGAACCAACGAAAAATGGCAAAAGGAAATTAATAACCCTTCTGGGCAAATTGTCCCTGTGGGATGAAAATATTTACAGTTTCTAAATTTTTTGGTATTACAGAGTTCTCATTCTCTTAGGAAACACAAACTAACGAGCTCTAAAATGTGTGTATGAGAATTATCCTGAGGTCTTAAAGCAACAAAAAAGTCAGAAAAAGGGTGTAAAAGATCCTTTATTGAATCGCATATAATTGGGCAGGTGGCCCCACTTCTTACTTAAAGCCAACACTTCTGGTTTAACTCAAACAGGTAATGCTGAACATAAAGTAAAATGTAATTATTCTAGCTTAACGGCTTTCAGGATAATTTAACGCGCAAGAAGATTCTGACTCGTGAAAGGCGACGGAACAAACCTAAGGGCTAGAAGCATTCAACACCACAGAATCAAATCGCTAACAACGTGACCTTCAACCAGGCATAACATGCTCTAAAATCACCTTCCAAAACCTTTGTTCTAGCATTTCTTTCTCACTGAATCTGAATACACGCACGTTACTTCATTAGCATTCTGGCAGTAAAGCGTGGGTAAAAACGAGACTGAAAGGAAAGATGCATTAATTAAAAATGAACTGTTAGTCAAACGAAATAAATCTCCACTGTATAATTTCTAGATTATCCTTCCAGAGCAATAACGCTGGATGAAAATATTAATACTGCATGTTAGCGCTCGAAAACTTAAAAATTACTTATGTGAAAACTCTATCGGCATACCACATGTAACAAAATTATAACTTAAAGGATGCAACGCTTAACTAAATCACAAAAGATTACCACTAAATAGCGTTAAATGGTAAAACATTAACCTCAAATATTCTAATTTATTTTTGCACAGACCCCTCAAGCCAAGCAGAGAAAGAAAACTAAATTCTCAAATTTTAAAATTAAATACAATATACAAATACTCAATAATATCAATTAAATACAATATAAAATGTCAATTTTTATACGGAAGGTCAAATATTTAATGCTTTATTTTTTATGATGAGTAAAATTTTACTAAATACACTGATTGCTATTTTATTATTTAAAGTGTCGGGAAATCTTACAAAAATGAACACCTAGATTATAATAGATTATAAAAAATAGATTTTATAAATTTTATGTAATTTATTTTAACTGTGAGTAATAACCACGTAAATTTTCCGAAAGACATTTTGCAAAATTAGATGAATGCAGATCAGCATTAAGTTCTGCTGTAATTTGTTGTAATTTTACATTTTTTGGATGCAGGTCTTTTTGAAAATTTTAACATCTTTTCCAGATAGTTCTTCTAGACATTCGGTAATGCACCAGAGATGCTATGACTGTTTATCTTCTTCTGAACTCCAGTTTAACACTCATTCATGTCCTGTTAATCTTAATATGTAAATACCGTCCATCTAATATTCCTAAATTTAAACTTTACCTAGATAAAATGCGAAATTACATAGTATTGCCTATCGAAATAGCGTATGGTTGCGGGAGTTTCGGGCTGCTTTAGTTGATAATTTCTATAAATAATAAAAAAGAAACCAATGTTTTATAGAGACATCCGTTAAAGAACAGGTAAAAAAGAAACGGCTAAAAAACTTTAAAAAAAAAAAAAAAAAAAAAAAAAAAACAGGAGCTGCCAGATTTTAATGATTATATAGAGTTTAAAGAGATCTAGTTCAGTAGCTGAGTTTTTCTGATTACTTGAGCTGACATAAATTTAAAGGGATAGGTAATGAATTAACATCGATCATCAATGGTAAGCTTATTAATTTTTTATCTTCTAACGTCATATTATTACTCATTAATCAAAAATAGTCGAGGAAAGTAACAAAACATTTCTTGAAATTTCAAAAGATAGACAGGTAGTAATCTCATCACTGTTATTTATAAAATACGTTATTGATTATTATACTTTAAGAATATAACAACAATTTAACTTACGATAGCCTAGATGACCTCTTTGCACTTATTCCTCGGCACAGTGGGTGGAATACAAAAACCCTGAAAAGATACATAAAAAGAACAATTAATCAATAACATAGGTAACAGGTGAGAGCAGGATTCGGACACCCGGGCGGCTTATACAGACTATTCGGGTATTGTCCGAATCCCACAACTGACCAGAACAACGGCCTCCCGATGTCCCATGAGGACCACATCGAGAGTTTATTTCAAAACAGAAAGACACAGTACAATCAATAAACTAGACAAAGAACTCGAGACATGGATCCCCGTCCTGAATCTGTTAACAGTTACCTGTCGGGGTTGTGATATCTATAGTCCAGTGACCCTCGTCCAAGCGGGCGCAACCCCCGTAGTCCTCGCCCGGCTTTATACAAAGCATTGGGCAAAGATTATGAAAATACGAAGAAAATTTGATTACGCTACACTATCTTGATTCCGGGCACCACTACATTGGCAACATACGTCTTTAGGGTGATCTATCCACTCTGTCAGTCCCCGTCAGGAAAACTGAATGAAGTCAAACATCTGAGGACTTTGTCGATCTAGCTCCACAACAGACGAACGAACGGACACGACAGTACTGGTACGGTTTCTGCCAAGCCCGAACCAACCTCTGAATGAATGGGGGCTCTAGTCCTGGGTAGACTGGTTATATAGCTCCGTAGTTTGGACTGCCTACGTACAGATCCTAACCACTACTTTCCAGGACATCTCCTGAGCTAACCCCAGGGAAAGGGGGAATCAATAACACATTAGAAATTGCAGTCTGATCCTTCAAATTCAGTCTGATGCCTGAAAAATATCTCAATTAATTCAGGTGATGGTGATTTTTTGTTGGACAAAAACATCACTAAACTGAAACAAACCGAAATAAACTAAAATTAAAATTGTTGGATTAAGAATACTAAGAAAGTAAGATATTTTCTTCGTAAATTATTATTCTCTGAAATAACGGCAAGTTCATTATTATTTAATATTAATCAAGATATTAATTCTGTTTTAAAGATACGTAAATCATTCTTTGAAATTCTTTATACTTTCGTTTCTTGATATAAGAAGCTGAACTGCTGTTAAAATTTGCACCTCATATATCAAGTTTCTTGCAAAGAAGCTTAATAAACTATTGTACTGAAAATGAATAAGATTTTAAGCAATATTTTAATGAAAGGATTGTAGGATTACCAATAGTTTTACGTTGTTGATAATATGAAGTTCATTGGAGTTTATTCTTTATTCGATTAACAGATGTGTGTGCTTAAAACCCTGTCTTGAAATTTGTATTTCATAGAGAAATTTAAGGCAAAAAAATGACAATAAATGAAACAAAATGTAACGAAGTGAACATTTTTCATCTTGCGTTCCAGTTAAAAAACATATAAACTAATGTCTTTTATATTACTTTACTTCAATAATTGGATAGTTGACTCACTAAAACATAAAAGAATAGAACGCTTAATTAGTGGGAAAAATCTACGGAGGTAATTCATTAAATCTGCGTATGGATGTTTCATACATTTTGCCTATTAATTGTGGTGCCGATATTGTTTGGATATATTGGTATGCAATCGATCACATTTTTGGATGAAACAGTTACCAGCACTCTTAACAAGCGATTTCTAAACTGTAGCAAGTATTGCTTTAAATTAAAAATGGGGGACCTGGAAATGCGATCGGTATTTACATTCCTTACAGAGGAATTGGAAAACCAAAAGAAATCTATGAAATATTGTTGCCATATATGATTATTATAGGCTTGTAATATTTCGTAGGAAATCTCTGATCTAAGCAATTCAAGCGGAGTAGAGAATACATTGAAGATGATCCTTGCTCAAGCTGCCCATTGAAGGCTTTCTAAAAAGACGTATTCGAAAAATAGAGACCATGATTATGGAAGACTGTCACGCAAATATGTATGGTAATAATATCGAACATGTTGAGATCAGCTAGCACATCATCTTCAAATGTTTCGATCATCTTCAAATGTTTGACGATGTCAAAAGTGAATTCTCGGTAAGTATCCGAATGCTGATAAGAGATCAGTAGCTGTGAAGAGAATTTGGAGATGCCTTTTTCATATGTATCGTATAGCAAATTTTCAGTTTATATGTTTATCCTTCATGACAATACTTCCGTGAAGCGTTTTTGGTACAACGAAGGCTGTTATTACATAATGCGGTTACAAAGAACTTTAATCGCCTTTCGTGAAGTAAAAATTTAATCCCTGGTGACAAAATTTTATTTCGTTGTTGTGAAAAAACAGGATATCCTGATGCTGGTGATTTCAAGGCCGCAGAGACTGTTTGGATATACAGCCAAGATGACGTCTTTTATTATGAGAGCATCTATAGACTAGAATTAAATTAGAAGTTATGAGTTAATATTTTGGGAAAATTCGATCAAAAATCATATAATATATTCTAATTACATTAACGTAACTTTCATTCTAGTTTGTTATTTTCAAATTCAGATAGATATCTTATTAGGTACTTTATGTATGACTAGCTCCAGGATATCACACTTTCCAGGGATACTGTCAGTGATATAGTAGGAAAATGCAACGGGCAAACTGCAAAGCAGAACAGATAGAAGACATTGATTGATTTGCGAAATACACTGGGTATACATACATAGGAAAGGGCTAGCGACGCAAAGGAAAACTTGAATGCATAAAAAACATTTGTTTCTTGCAAAAGTACCCGTATGAATCACAGTCAAGCATTAACATACAGTAATAAATATATACAGGAATTTTTTTCAGTGAACGCTAATAGTAATATGCTGTTTACTGTACACATAAAGCATTGCCTAGATTTTGCTGCACACTATATCCGAGATTAAACTGCGACTGCGATACTGCGATATACTGTATTGTATTGAGTTTCTATTGCCGGAGCAATACTTTCTAGTCATGCAAAGAGGTCCATGTGGAGCCTGGTATAAGAAAATTCCTTATTGAGTTTCCTCTAAGGGGAGAAATAACAGGAAGAAAAAGGAATACGGCGCAATTTTCGCCTGGGTTCAGGAGCTGACGCTAGCTATTTGCAATACTGGTCCAAACAAGAACAAGTCCAAAGTAGTTACATCTAAAAGTCTGTGAGATGCTCGTAGTCTGCTGGCGCTTCACTGTGATTGATCGAAATCTAGTTGGAATCTTTGTCAGAAGAGATGATGTGGAAAGATGCACAAGAAGCGTAAGCACAGAGTACTGACGAGTAACAATTAATTATTGGCTTGCCTAATTAAGTGTGCAGCATAAGGTCGGATGAACAAATCGTCCGGGATGATTTCATAGCTCAGAATATACGCAAAGTTAGCTTTACTGTTGGTCTTTGTTTTCCAGAAAAAGTTTCCATTTAGCTTGGATAAGTAGTCTTTAATGTAATTAATATGTAGATCGCGATGTAAATTTTCATTTCTAATATATTATGGGGCGTTCGTGATGGTTATTAAGATCTTATTTTGCAGAACTTGTAGCCGTTGAATTTCACTTGCCTTAGCACTTGCCCAGGCCGGGGAGGCATGTGTGATAACAGGCCTAACAATTGCAGTGTAAAACCTTCTTTTGCGTGCAAGGTTTAATCCAGAGTCCTTAGAAAGTAGTGGATAAAGCTTTTTCATAATGCCGTGAGCTTTTCCACACACACTGTTTATGAGTGCATTCCAGGTAAACAATCGATTTAATAGAATTCCTAGGTATTTTGCCGTACTTACAGTAGGTACTGTTTTTCCGAAGACATTACAGGTGAGGGGTCTGAGGTCTTGAATTTTCTGATGACTAAAACTTTTAACTTCTCCGGGTTGATCTTAACTTTCCATTGTTGACACCATGCTTCAATATCAGAAATAATCTCCTGAAACTTTTCCAAGACGTGATTTGGCCGTCTAGACTTCGCGATGATGGCGGTGTCATCTGCGTAGTATGCTAACATAATATTAGGGTCTTGTTTGAATTTTGGGAAGTCATTTACATACAAAATATAAAATATTGGTCCAAAGATACTTTCTTCTGGGACACCAACGCAAATTTGATGTGGGTTTGAACTGAAATCTCCTTGCAGCACTGAAAAAGTTCAGGAGTTCAAAAATGAGCTGAGGATGAGAGAAATGTCCAGAGGAAAATTCAAATTCATGAGCTTAAAAGTAAGTCCTCTGTACCAGAAGCGGTCAAATGCTTTTGCCACGTCTAGCATGAGGATAGCTGCATTAGTTTTGTTATGTAAAGCCGCTCCAATATATTCAGTGATTCTGACTAACTGATGAGAAGTGGATAATCCTCTTCGAAAGCTATGTTGTTCATCCGCCACGATATCGAAGAAAGGTTTAATTCTATGGTAAATGATTCTTTCAAGAATCTTTCCCAGTGTCGACAGGAGGCTAATTGGTCTGTAATTGGTCGGTTCATCGGGACGCTTGCCTGGGTTTTGTATCAGAAAAATGCTTGCATGCTTCCACGGGGTTGGAAAACATGAATGCATCAAACAAGCATTGTAAATGCTATTCAGCTTGGTAATTAGACGGTGAGGCAGGTTCTTCATCATTCTGTTCGTAGTTTTATCACTTCCAGGCGCCTTTTTTGAGTTGGTGTGCTTGATGATATCGTTTATTTCTAAAGGAGTAGTGAGTTTAATCGTGTTTTTGGAGTGCTAATCTCAAGCCATTCTTGAACAAAATTATCAATATCAGAGTCATTATTATTCGGAATTGCATTCGGCGTGAACTGCTCGCTCAGATGTTTTGCGAAAGTGTCCGCTTTTTCTTGCTCGGTATATGCAAAACTTGTGTGTTGTTTTGATTGGCCGAGAGTGGTGATAGACTCTTTTCAGGTTCCGAGCGAAGTTCCAGAATGAAACGTCATCCAGATTTAAGTTGTCTATTATGTAACTCCATACTTCGTTTCGGTGTTCACTGATGAGAGCTTTAATCTGGCTTGTGAGTATATTTGTGTCTGTCTTAATGGCCGGATTCCAATCCTTACTGTACTGTTTGCGAAGTCTGTTCCGTTGAGTAATAACTGCTCTGATACATGCATGAAGTGT